GTAGGATTGGGAAGATAGATGCATTTTTCTCGAACATCATCCCCATAAAAAGGATTCAAAATATGTTCTCACCCCATCCTGAGAGCAACCCTGAGGGATAGGCATTCTCTCCATTTTATAGACAAAGCAGCCGAGGCGAGGCTGTTCCAAAGCGCTTACCCAAATTCACAAGTGGAAAGCAGGGGTGCTGGGGTCAAAGTTTTAACTCCAAGGTCTAGCTCCTCTTCCTGGAATTGAAAGGCAAGTATTCTTCCGAGTTTTTTTGGTAGTCTTCATGTTTTGTGACTGGGAAGTATACACGAAGGCCCAAATGAGCCCTTCCCCCCCAAAAAAAAAGTTAGTGATGGCCAAGCTTCAGGAAGTAGTTTATCTGACTCCTGGCCAAATGAAGGCAGCACGTGGAGCCTTAGAACAAGAAAAATTGAGAGTGCACATTTTCTATTCTTGTATGTGCTTCCCAGACACCCTTCACATGTTCTTATTGGGTTCTCTCACCAATCCTGTGGTGGGGAAAACGCGTAAAAAATAAGAAAGCCACAGCAGCAATCCAAGGTCTGATGTTCTCTCCTCAAAACCCCTTCAACCCTCAGAAGAATCAAAGCAATCATGTGAGCACTAAAGAATTACTTAGTGGCTTAGGAAAACGTGTTCTAAGGGCGCAGAAAATCACATACGGGGTCATTCTATTTTTGTGTAAAATAAAAATCAAGAGTATACTTTACGCACCTACAGATGTGTCGATAAGCATGCGGATGATTTCAATAGCACACCCAGGAAGTTACCTTTGAGGTGCACAATCAAAAGAACAGGAAAATTCCACCTCTTGCTTCGTGTCTTTTAAGAGTGATATTACAGGTGATTTCCACCTTGTTTCAGTATAATAAAATCATGTTTCCTCCACCTTTTGGTGCTTCACAGAATGCCACCAAGACAGAGCTTTCTTCTTGAGTTAGGAACATTACTCTCTGGGTCTGAAACTTCTGAAGGATTGAAACCCTGGAGGCGTGTGCTAGCATCCCGGTTTGCAAGCCTAAGGTGCCCCCAGACGCTTTTGTGATAACGTGGTTTCCTAGCTTCCTCACAGGACTGTTGGATGAAAAGTGCGAACATACGTGGAAGTGCTTCACTGGGTTATACAAAGTCTGTGACCCCCTCTTCTTAACCTGCTTGCATTTATCTTTGGGCACTTTTGACCTGGCCAACTGCTAGCTTTGGCTCCAAAGAAGCCAGAAAGTCACAAATCTAAAAGAACATACAGGACTTGTTCAGTTGCACTGAAGGATGTCAAGGGTAGATCAGTTCCTCAACCTAAACTCCAGCAAAAACCCCAAATTTGAAAGGGGATAAATCCCTAGGATCTAAGACTTGGGTGGAGAAAGTAGCAATTCTCTCTCCTGCTTGGTTCAGCTCTACTTTAGCTTTGTTTGCCCAGGAGCCCACTGGAAGGCTCCCCAAAGTTCTGTGACAGAGGCTCCAGACGGAATGAATCCAAGACAGCCAGCCATTTGGTTAGCAAACCCTGCGAGACTGGTAAGCGCCGGCTGCCAGGCGCACAGCTGACAGCTCTCTAGGCTGATTTTTATCATCATCCCGCAACTGTGATGGGAATGGTAAAACACTTAGGTGCACAGGTGGATTCTGATCAAAGTTTGGGAATTCAGACCACGAATGAAGCCTAATAGTGTGGAGATCAGACACAAGCAACCTCCGTTAGCAGATACACGGCCGATCAAAGAGCCAGTTCCCGCAAGTGCTTTAAAAAACTTTGTGAAGGGCCATTTCGAATATCTATACAGGGCACCACTAACAGCAGCAGCATCGCCGTGTTTTCTGACCCTTGACGGTATATATTTTTAACAGGTTTTTAACCAAGTTAAGGACAAACCTTTTCTTTTTTGATCCCATAATAATGAAACGTTACTGACACCAACAGCACTCCCATCTCCAGCAAGATGAAGCCCCTGGTCTGCCCCATTCCGGAAATAAAACAACTAAAGCAAGTCCAGGTCGGAGTTTGCTGAAAACACAACGCTCACCAGCGAAACACTGCTATTCAAGTTCACAGATAGAGTATGTTCAGGCAAGTGAGGAAGACCGACCGGCTAGCTATCTTCAGGAGAAATGTGTAAGGCAGACTCGGTAGGTTGTAAACGACTGTCCGCTCCACAAAATTACTTGGGTCTTAACCAGGAAATCACTTGTCATTAAGTATTTTTTAAAAACCTACCTTATTATGTGGGTTACTACAAAATTGTACCACAGAAAACATACTAACACCCAAGTTATTTCAGCCAATAGCTTTGAATTTGTCTTTAATCCCTTTTATTGCTCCTTAATAGTGATTTTCACAGTCTTCCAGCTGACACCGAAGTGTTTTTTCTTGGAATCCTTTATAGAATTGTATCTTCTTTGTGGAAAACACATTCTCCAACAAGAAAAACTAACAAATCCATGGTGTAGATTTCACAACTTTTTGTTTTTTTTTTTTTTTTAAGTGAATTTGTGTGCCTTTAATTTCAGAAGAATTGCTATTATACAACAAACCTTTTATTTTTTTTCATTCATAAAAACAGTCCACAGCATTCATAAAACAGGATGTTAGAAGAAATAAAAAGACTTTTCAGGTGGATTCATTATGTTTTAAGAAGAACAGATGAGTCAGTAGCAATCTAATACAGATGGAAACAAATACAAGCCATATAAAATCAGGATTTGAAAAGGGGGGTGGGGGGAGATATATCAACCAAAGTAAATTTAGAGCTTTCAGGCATGCAACTCAACATCTGAATTTTCTTCACTTAACAACCAAAATAGGTACTTTAATAGGTGTTTATAAAGAAGGCTACAAAAGAATTGCAGAAATGTTAGCCTTACATGTAACAAGAAAGAAAAGAAAAGAAAAGAAAAGAAAAGAAAAGAAAAGAAAAGAAAAGAAAAGAAAAGAAAAGAAAAGAAAGGAAAGGAAGGAAGGAAAGGAAAGGAAAAAGGAAAGGAAAAAGGAAAGGAAATAGAAGGAAAAGAAGGAGGAGTGGAGGAGGAAGGAATGGGGAAGGAATGAAGGAAATATATGTTGAGAAAGAAAGAAAGAAAGAAAGAAAGAAAGAAAGAAAGAAAGAAAGAGAAAGAGAAAGGGAGAGAGAGAGAAAGAGGGAGAAAAGAAATGAACAAATCCCCAGCTACACCTAGGCTAATCACAGTTCAGTTTTCCCTAACAGAGACAAAGAAAAGTGAGTTTTACAAGCTTTGCTTTGGGTACAATACCTTAGAGCTCTCACTTGGGTGTTTCCTGCTCATGCTCTTTTCAGTATAAACAAATATGGTTTATGTAATGGAATACATACTTGAAGGATTCCTTAAAAAAGAATCACAAGTTTCATTTTATATATACAACAAATTTTTAATTATGTACTGAAAATAAATTACAGGAAATAACTTTAAAATGCAACAGAGGACAAAGTCACGATAAACATTCCCATTGAATTCCCTTGGGGGGGGGGGGGAGACTGCAGTGCTCAAGGAAGATAAATATCACAAATATATCAAAAACTTCAAATTGTCTATGCATTCACACACTGACATGAGCCACAAACATTCCTTCACAGGGACTGCACTTAGCCTACCACAGAACCAGATTTTGCCATAAACTACAAAACTTTTAATACAAAATCGTATTTATATATTTATAATTCATATACATGCCCTATCTGTGGTTTTAGAAAATAAAAGCTACACACTGTACAGACACTCTGAACTCATAGCTGTAGGCAACATTTTTGGATGGAATTTCTCCCCCAATAAAATTAATGGCATATTTTATGTACACGAAGGCTAAACTGAATAAAGACAGTTCAGTTTCCCAGATATGCATCTCCTTTTAGGGCAGGTTTATAAATTTAAAAAGGCAAGACAAATGTACACCTCAGAATCACTTTCTTAGCTACAAGAGTTGTCATGTAATTTCTGTGAGACTTCTGACACATGCATTTATGTAATACTGGTATTGAAGGCAGTAAAGCAATATATACTTTTAATGTAGTGGCTCAATAAAGGCTTCATTGTCATTCCGATCTGATTCTTGATACAGTGATTCATAACTTCACTAGAAATTAAAATTTCAATGGGACACTGGTGTTAAAGAGACTCTAAATAGATTTCTTAAAATATTTCCCTGAAATATCCTTTTACATAAGACAAATTTCATTAACATTAGATTAAGTAAAAAGGAAAAAAAAAAAAGGAAGAAAGAAAGAAAGAAACATGGCACAAATGTGCATGATAAACTAATGCTCCTCAGCCAATCTCCATGTCTTAGGAGCCAAGAACAGAATGCTTAAAACCAACAAACAATTTTCACACTCTGTGGCAGCCATCTGTGAAGCCAGTTATACTAAACTACTTCTACAGTTGATTGTAAACTTTGGTTTATTTTTATTTGAGTTCTCATTGTACAGCAAGCATGAAAAAAAGGGAGAGTGGAGTCCATGAGGAGATGAACTGTCAGTCTGTCTTTAATCTGGCATGATGAGACACCTGGTCAGTCAGGCCTGCTTTGATAGAGTTTGTGACAGACTGCCTTATGTTTTCCTCCATCAAATTATCACCCAGGGGCTTCAATACCTGTGGTATGAGAGATGTGCAAAACAAATAAAAACATGAGGTAAAAAAAGAGGTACATAGAAAAATAGATATAAAAATTCAATTCAAAGCAATGAAGAAAATAACCAGGAATGTGGGAAATAAAAAAGATGCTTCTCCCCAAAAAAGCTATGATGCTACAAATAATGCAGTTAGACATCTTATAATGCAACAAAAATTACTTTCCTCCTACTCAAACCATTTACAATTCCTATGAGATGGACGTGCGATTCCATACCCTCTATGCAGCATCAAATCTGGTAAGTATACAGCATTTATGCAGACCGGCCCAGACGGTCCTGCTAATTGTCCTACATGTTTAAGGGTGAACAACTTCAGATAGAGAAAAAAGTTAAAAATACTGTCTAATTTTTCTTCTTGTTATTGTTGGATGACAGTCTCTGTCGCTGTGCTGATGAAAGAGCACGACGGACCATTCGACGTCTAGTAACTTCAAACAGTTTGGAAAACACCTAAAACATGGAGTGACTCGTTAGGACAATGACTCAGAGCGCCTTGAAGTTAAAGCGTTTAAGACTACAAGAATCTGCGACTGTGAGTTTCTCACCTTCCTGGGACTCCTCTGAAGCAAAAGAAAAGAGAAATGCAAGAAGATTTAGGCAAGGTTTGTTGACACAGCACATATCTTCTCTGACTAGTGATCAACCTACCTCAACTACGCTGGTAATTTTACACTTTAGACTCTTCCACTTAATTGTTTTGTAATAATGGCACCTCTAAAGTCCTAGAATCAGTGCTACCGGAGCATGATATAGGAGGATGACTGGTTTTCAAATGAAGACATCGCACAATGATTAAAATTCATGCTGCAGAAAATTAGTGATGGTCCACAATTTTAAAGTAGAGAATTTTTTTTAAAAAAGCGAGGCTGCAATAGCTTTTAATCCATCCTCTATTAGAAGATATCAAAGGAATATCAAGAGTGAGGTTTTTTTTTAAATGAAGGGTTAAATTTAACAAATATCCAAACACAAGCTTCCAAATCAGATCCAAATTTCTCTAAAGAATAAATACAAAATCCAAACTAATATGGCGGGTCACTTCATAAAATAATGACACTGTTACAAGAAAAGTCAATGCCCAATCAACCTTCATCAAAAAAATGATTCACTTCTTCCGTCTTTAAATTTAAAGGCAAAACCAACATGGACCTGCATGTCCTAGACCTCCAAATAAGCCCAGTACTTCTTATGCCCAGAAGTGGTATCTGAAAATGCCTATTATGCTGTCCATCAATACTAACTGCAGCTTTCATTCTGATCCTTGACATGATGCTCAAGTATTTCACGATGATCATTTTAATGACAACATCCTTGAACGGAATTTTCTGAACCCGGGGAATTCCAGCACACAGGTGGACATTCAACATGGCTTCCCTTAGTAGATTCTTGTCAGGCCCGACTTTGAATTCTGGTTTGAGGTAAAAGATTATGATTTGAATTCTGGTTGAAGTCAAAGATTACGATTAAGAGAAGCTGGTTCTCTGTTTGTGGCGCTTTGTTTTGTTCATTAGTGTTTCCATAGTACGGACAGCAAACAAAATTCCTTTGGTAAAAGAAATCCCTATCAGGTTGTTCCATCAGTAAATCACCACTATCTTCACGGAAGGCAACAAAGACCTGAATATCAATATTTTCCCTCAAATATAGGCATGAATTGCTTCTTGCCAGGGTTAATAAGACACTTCTTTTGCTTTCTTAAAGCACTGCACTTCCAAATTTCTTTCTTACACTGATTATATTTTCTTTCCTCTAAGAAAAAAGTCCGTAGAGACTCTGGCCCTGCCCATTGTCTGGTATAATCAGGCCTCTGACTAAGAATCTATCCAAAGATATTACAGATTTAAGCCAATCAAAGCACACTAAAATTATGACTTTAAGGAAAAAAAAATTACTCAGTTCATACTTTATATTCAGATTACACAACCATAACCAAACAAAACAGAAAACATCCTTTTGACATTCCTCATATAAAGGAAAAGGAGGTGTGCGAATACTGCAGGAGAAGGGTAGGGAAATGTCACAGGGATGAGATTAGTCACTGAAAAACCAAAAGATAGATACCAACCTGTTCCCATAGTGTTTCAGCAATCTGATCAATCATTGTTCCAATTTCTCTGAACTCCCCAGAGTATTTTACATATGCCCAAGTACAAAGAGATGTCAGTGCTAACCCCATGACAAGGTTACACAAGACGGCTATAGAGTTTAGGCCAATGAAGCCGGTCAGTCCTGAGATTATGTACATAGCAAACATGACTGCAAACAGTGTGGCCGGGGTACGAGCAGCATAGAAGATGTTTTTGCCATCATTGTGCTTTATCAAGTTTGCATAGGTTTCTTCAATTTCAGCTTCAAGCTGGTCCTGATAACGATGGCAGAATTCATCTCCGCCCATTTTTTTTACTGAACGAAACTGTTTGATCGCCACTTCCTTGAGATCCAGGTGTTTTCGCTCCAGATCTGAAGGTGCAATGTAAGGCTTGTCCCCACCACATACCTGTACAGAGGAGTACAAGACAGATGACTGGCTAGAAACAATTCACACTTAAAAAACATTCCCGGTTCACAGTTTTTAGTCTCAAAAAGTCAAGCCATCTACATGGTTCAGTTTTAAACTTGTTCATAATATCTCGTACATAATCATAACCTATTTCTTGTATGTTTAATGGACTCGGGTAAAATAAATTCTCCAAGTATGACTAATACCAGTAAAGACAAAAAAAAAAAAAAAAAAAAAAATCTGT